AATGTGGAGTGTCGGTCGGATAGGATAATGAGATAGTAGGTGAGCAGTGAGTGCATTCTGGCGCACGCTAAAAGGGTATGGAGGAGGACTGTAGCTCTCGGTCCATCGCTCCCGAGGATTGATTTGCAAGAACCAGAGTCACAGTGAACCCCACTCTGGGCTCCCCTCACCTGCTCCTGCTCTGATGTCTGCTGGCCCGGCCCTGAGCTCAGGGACTCAGTGTCCCCCTCCCACTCCCTCGTGCCTGCTGCCTCTCCACGTGGATGTGCAGTGGAATCGGCCCGTTGACCTCATTTAATCTTGCCTGCCCTTTCCCCCCAGCAGCATTGTAAATGTTCAAATTAGTAAAGTAGACCTATCCATCTTCCTGAAGCTAATAACAAATTGGGACCATATGATGTAAATGCAGATTATTATGACATATCTGTTCTGGGGGGGCTTTAAAAAAGCTCATGGGAAAATTCCATGAAGTGTCGATTCCTTGTTTCCACAACTTTTTGAAGTTCCTTCATGTATCTTAACATTATTTTATGTTCTTTTGCCTGCTTTTTGTTTATATGCTAATAAAGCTCGCTGCATTTCTCTGTGGTTTCCTGCTTTGGTTGAATGCAAAGAAAAATTCCCATTTATATAAAAAAATATGAGGAAAAGAAGATTAAGAGTTGCTTTTAGTTCAGAGATTATTTCACAAGATCTTTTGTTTAAACTGCTTAAGCTTAGAATTGGAGAGAGCTTTACTGAGCTCCAAATCTCAGTTCTGCTTCTTGGCTGTGTGACTTTGACCAAGTCACTCTGCTTCTGACATCAGTGCCTGCACCGTTAACCTGATTCTGAGGATTAAATAACATGAAGTGAGTGCCTTAACACAAAATCATACAGGTGGTGCTTTATCTTTCCCTCACACTACTCTGTGACACTTGCACTTAACTATATTTTGGCTTCAAATTCAGATTTGAAGAGAACCTGGATTAGGGATTTTCTGTCTTCAGTATCAATATTTATTGATATTTAGCAATATCAAGATATGTATGTTCAGTCCTGGGTCATATATGCTTAGAATAAAGCCCAGAAGTGATTTTGATTCATCTCTGTCAAGCAGGGTGGTGGGGTAGGCATTGAGCAAGGTCAGCAGTTCACATCCACCATCTGCTCCAGAGAAAGGTGAGGCTGCCTGCTCCTGTAAGCATTCACGGTCTATATAGCTTTATAGGGTCGCCTATTAAGTATCTAAAGCCACGTGAAGATACACTGGTCTTTTCATCTCCCGCCACTTGTAGGTTCTTTCTGATGTTGAAGATGATGCTGGGGAAGTAAGTAGAGAGAGTGTGTGGGATCTTTCCTGCGCAGCAGTGAGAGAGCAGCTTACAAATAGCATCCGCACCCAGTGGAGAATTTTGAAAAGTCATGTAGAAAAACTGGATAACCAAGGTAAGTTCCGCTGAACTGCATAGAAAGTTGAGTTGTGACACGTAAGAGCGCACATTTTTCAGTCTCGGGTTAAGCCACGTTGTGGGGCAAGTCAGCAGTGTTTTAGGTCAGTTTGTGCCAGAGGTTCGAACCTCTGAGATTTGGCACGAGGTTTGAATCGTACAAAGAAATTGCACTTTGCTTTCAGAGTGACTC